CGGACAACAGGCATAGACTCAACTGAAGGGACCTTCCTACTCACATCCCGCACATATGCCAAATAGGACAGACATCCGCTAGCCACTAGCCTCCGAGCCTGAATAAAGGAGAACTCCAATCGGTGTGCTACTAATGGAGGCCACACCATCGGAGGAATACCAGGCATGAATAAGGTAACAGCCTTAGAGAAACAATCTAAAACCGCGCGATATGGGGATAACCAATCCATACCCAGAATCAAATCAAAATCAAGCATATCTAACAACATAAGGTCAGCCCGGGTGTAACACCCCCAAGTAGTAACTAAGCATGATCGAAACAATCCACTACTAAAGACTGACACACGGGGGTCGACACACGCAACAACATTGCTATAGGCTCAAAACTCATACCTATACAAGAAGCATAATACCTACATATAAGAATAAGTAAAACTAGGGTCAAATAAAGCTCGCGGGTGGGCTGATGGCATAATAGAATCGTACATATGATCACATCATTAAATGCCTCAGCCTCCACCCTCGCTAGAGCTGCATAGAAATGGCCTTGTCTGCCTCTGCCCCTGGCCATCAGTCCTACCGCCTGATCTGCCTCCTCAGGGACCACCCCGAATACCATGATAACCACGGCAACGGTCCTGAACCTGACCTCCACCCCTAGATGTGCTGTTGGTAGAGCTGTCTGTGGAGCAGGAGCAATCTGCCTATGCATTGGACAATCTTTGGACCAGTGACCCAACTCACCACAATCAAATCAACTTGACGATGATCTTCTCCCCGTAGAACGACCACCACGGCCTGAAGCACAAGAGTGGGACGCATGGCTTTGACTAGAGCCAATCTTACTCCAGCCCGGTCTCTCTCTGAAGCCTGCAATGAGGCCTGCACTGGCCGGCTGGACTGGCCCTGCTGATACCACAACCTTGGGCCCTTCATAGGAGCCCCTCTGCCTGGAACGGGACCCACTGTAGCTACCCTCATATCTGGCTCTCTTGTCGCTGCCCCTTTGGTCTAATGACGGAGCTCCTCAATAGTGCGAGCGTGATCAACAACACTTTTTTAGTTGGGGTGCCTTCCTTGTACACATTTTGTTGATTGTTTCTGCATACTGTGATTGTGCTTTTGTCGGGCGTACTTTTCTTTCTTTGTTATGGATTGGTGTACCCTTGTCGGTCTTTGATATCGTGGATGTTTTTGTTGATATTGTGTTGGATTGGTGTATTTTAGTTTTTGAGTTATAGTTTGTTAGCTTCTTTGTTTTTTTAATTGTAAGATTTGGATTGACTATGCCCGATGATAGATAGAGAGTGACAACTTTCTAAAGTTTAAATCGTCGATTGCATGTGAGTGTCTGATTGGTGTTGATTGTGGCGAAGTCTGAGTAGCCATTCTCGAATAGATGAATGAGGTTGCCTGACGATGGATTGGTTGACAACTTTTTAAGGGCAAAATTGTCGTCTTCTTAGGAAGGTTTTGACTTTGTTGGTACTAAGAGCATAGTCATGCATGTGAATAGTGTTGAGCATACCTCTCCATTTTTAAAAGGTTGAGCATGTTATGAATGATTTTGTGACAACTCTTACAACTATTTTGGTGACTTTTGATTCGTTAGCGGTTAAAATATTCAATGCTACTTGTATTTTGAAAAGGAAGTAAGATTTTGAACCATTTTGATTGATTTGCAGGCCATGTGTGGTGAGTTGTTGAACAATGCCTTGTGTTCGCTTTTGTCACCTAGAACTTTCCCAGTTGGTTTTGATTGAGTTTGGTTGGAGAAATGATCTTAGGCTTTCTTTGATGTTCTTGAAGTCCACTTGGCCTAAAAATCCCACCTTTGCACTAAATATATCCTTAGTTGTCCCCTTTGAGCCTAGTCCTTTTTATTGGCAACCACATTACAAGCCTTATCCTTTTTGAAAAAATAACCCTCTTCTGAACCCTTCCCTCCTTGTACTTGAGGTTTTGAAAGTTGAGGCTAAAAGCCTAAAGTTGTGGGGGTGTTATGGGAAATTCATTAAGGGATGCTTTACCACATGAGGGTTTGATATAAAAAAATGGAAAAAAAAAGAACAGAGGAATTGAGGGATGTAGTCACTTATACCTATATGATATCCTAACATTCCCTAGGCATATATTACAAGCTTAACATTTTCCTTTGAGATTTCTAACCAAATGGAGTTGAGTCAATATTGATTGAAAATATGGGCAAGCCTATGGTGTGACATTTGTGTGCATGAGATGATTCTTTGTGAGTGTGAGTGTTGCATCTTTTTCCCTTGTCTTGTTTATATGTGTGTGTGGTTTTGGGACACTTCTTTCTTGTGAGGGCATGTAAGTTGAAAAGGAGGTAATTTTGAAAATTTCTAATTGAGTCAAGTGAGCATGTGAATAAGTTAATGAGTTGAGTCATTTCTTGAGTTTTAGTTGTTGTCATTTAAATGATTCTTGGTTTTTGAAAATGTTTCATGAGAATGAGAGGATTTCTTTTCTGAAAAGTTTGCATGTGGAACAACCGAAGGCATTACTGTTGTGCTTAATTGAGAAAGGGAAATTGATTAAGAGCCTCTTGTGTTTTTGATTTTCTTTACTTGAGGACAAAAATAGTTTTTAAGTTGGGGGGGGGTGTTGATGATTGGTGGATTTCCATTCATTTGAAGCTCTTTTCGTAGTTATTGAAAAGCGGCAGCTCGTGGGAGGGTTGTTGATGAGCGGTAGATTTCCACTCATTTGAGGCTCTTTTCGTAGTTATTTTGACTTGCTTTAGTTTAGAATTGGTGCTTTTAATGTGGTTTTTTTTCATATTTGCACGAAAATTAAATGGAAAATTGATTTAGGAGATATTTGAAAAAACCAAGTGGACTTGAGGCAAAATGAGGTCAAGAGCTGAAAATGCAATTTTTGGCAGGGAAAATACCGTTTGCGAACACGCTTGTTGGGTATTTTTGTTGATGACGACCGCTTACACTTTAAACTTATTCCGAGGGTAATTTGAGCGTTATCAATTACTTGAGATTTTTGTAAAAAGTTCTAAACATGTGTCTATATTACTTCCTAGTGATGCAAATCTCAAGCTGTTGTGGTGAATGCATGGTCTGAAACAGTTCGATCAAATTGCACTGTTGCTCTTGGAGATTTGGCAGTTAATTTTCCTAATCTGTTAGAGCCATGGACAGAGCATATGTATGCATGATTAAGAGATACATCAGTTTCTGTGCGGAAGAATGGTGTAGTTGGCTGAATGACATGATGAAGGTTTGGCTGGATTATCAAACATTTATACATATCAAATATAGCATTCTCAAAAAGAGTTTGTTTTCTCTCTCTCTCTCTTAGTCTATTGGTTGAGTCTAGGCGAAACTTCTAAGCTTAATGGTTTGTCGCCTTTTCATTTTTTGAATTAATTTTCATTTTGTGTTTTAAATTTGTGCAGAGTCTCCTGCTGAGTTCTTTGCAGATAAAAAACATTGCTGGTTTTGACAATGTGAGTTTCTTATATGTTTAGGATGTCTTATAGTTTTAACTTTTTTCTAATCTTATAATCACACATTAGTTTGATGATTAAGGATGTCTTATAATTTTAACTTTTTTCTAATGTTATAATCACACATTAGTTTGATGATTAAGGATGTCTTATAATTTTAACTTTTTTCTAATGTTATAATCACACATTAGTTTGATGATTAAGGATGTCTTATAATTTTAACTTTTTTCTAATGTTATAATCACACATTAGTTTGATGATTAAGGATGTCTTATAATTTTAACTTTTTTCTAATGTTATAATCACACATTAGTTTGATGATTAAGGATGTCTTATAATTTTAACTTTTTTCTACTGTTCTAATCACACATTAGTTTGCAGATTAAGGATGTCAATGAAGTAATATTTCCCTGTTGGCATTCGAGTGATATAGAGAAGTAGAATCCAAAAATGCAGGAACACCAAAGGATTAGTGAATGCAATCAAAGGGTAATTACAAAAAAAGAGAAACAAAGTTGCATCGTCTCCATAGAACTATAAGTGGAAGTTTTAGTTTTTAAAATAATATTGCTTTGTTAATTTATTTTGATAAAGTAAAGTGAAGTTAATATTCCTCTTGGTTAATAGCCGTTATGTTGGAGAGCAGCAGCTAGTACCTTAAAATTAATTAAAATTTAGGTACCTATACGAAAGAAAAGGTTGAAAAATTAATCTCCATATGCCGCCCCCCCTTTCCCCGCAGTTAGCATATAATCAGACTGTTGATAACTCATCAATGCATCCTTATACCCCATGTTGAAGAGATGTTCCTATATTCATAATGATAGTTGAGTAGGTGGAGTTTTTTTTTTTGGAACTGGTTTCTTGTAGAGTATGTGGATGTTTTTAAGGTCACACATTGTTGCCATTAACCAACAAAAGAGAGTCGACCACATTGAAGGGCATGTTGAAGGCATTAAATGAAATAGGCTCTTCCTTTTTTAATAGCTCAAGATTTTCATGAGGTGCAACATACTTCAACAATGATACATTAAATGCGCTGTTAATCAAGTTAGTATTTCCAAGTTTTCAGCATGGGAAATGTCTTTACACTACTATGAGAGAACTTGTTGAGAATGCACTTTATTCTGCTTAATCTATCTCCGATCTTCCAGTTGTAGAGATAACCATGTAAGTGATTATTTTGTCTATTTTAGATAACTACTTCAATGAGCTAGCAGAGTTCCATTAATGGGAACCTCTCTTCAAAGCTTAGTGTTGTTTTTTGTTTTGCTTCTTTAGTGAAGAGGTTGGTAGAAGTAAATTCAATTCCATGATTGGTCTGGCTGACCATGAACGTAGATATGAAGCCAGTTATGATGATTTTGAGACAGCAAAGGCTATTAAGGTGTGTAAGCAGTGATTTACTCTCACTTAGATGGCATTGTGATTTATATTTTATGCTCACTGTTTGACATTTAGCAAATTTCATTAGTAAAATAATTTTCTAGCAAATTTCATTAGATGGCATTGTGATTTTTCTAACTACCGTGTCTAGAAAAACCTTGCCAAGGAAGCTCGGGTTCTAGAGATTCAAGCAAGGAATGTTGCTCTTGGGAAGAATGTAAAAGACCCTGCAGCTACAAAGGCATCTAAGGGTAAGGAGGCATCATATTATAGGGTTACATGCAAGGTATGATCTGTTTCTCTTTGTTCTTCTATATGCTGACTCTGCTCTCAGTATGCAAGACACGAAAAGTACATTGTTGAATTAAATCAATTTGGCAAGTTAGTGGAAGATTATTCTTCCCTAAAAGACTCTATTTACTGTACTTTGTTTCTAATAGTAGGATAATGGAAGAGGAATGCCACATGATCATCTGCTGTTTGTGAGCGTTTGTGGGAGTTACTGCTGTGAACAAAGTATGTATTGAAACAGACACGTGGGAAATTTGGTCTTTGCGCAAAGATGGTACGTTGAGCAATTGGTCTTGACCTGATCATCTGACGTTCTTTTGATTTTACTTTTTTGTGTCTTAGTTATTTGTGTTATATTCCCCGTCTTGTTTCTGTTCTCTGTTAATAGGAGGTGGTTGCGAGGGTGGTGGATTATGTCTTTGGAATAAGAGAATATTTTTGTACTGTTAGAATTCTTTGTCCAGTGATTTTTGCCTGTAGTTCTTCTTTCCATTTTACTTGTGCTCATCCAGACCTCAATGGATGTGAATGCATGTACCATAATTTAAGAATTTATCCTTTTTCTCTCATTTCTACAGGCATTGATTTGGTCCAAGATGAAATCCAGATTGTCATTGAAAGGAACTGGACAATGTACCGAGTGTGTAGTTCTTGAATAGTTGTGACAGATGTTCTCCTAAGTTTCACCTCATTCATGCGTTGAAAGCAAACTTAGTTAAATAATTCACCTTCTATATTTCTGAAAACTGATCTTTTCTTTCTGTATTTACAGTCCAAAGTAGGGCATTATATATATAGCAAATAAACTCGATTGAACTATCAAATAAACCTGATTGAACTCATCAGTAAGGCTCCAAGGAAAGGAGTATAAGTTCACAAAGTTACTGAGTAACCCAAATCATGCTGATGATCAAAATATTGATTACTTAATCTACTCTTCCAAACAAATTCAACAGAAAGATAGATCATTGAAAGATAAAAATGGAAGTTTAATGTGCCCTTCCCCCCGGGTTTTGGACTAGTGGTGAGAGAGTAGTTCGTGATGTAATAATAGAAGAAAAAGAGCAACATGTGATGTGTGGGTTAGGCGCATGTAATGGATCTGAACCTTGCTGCAGACACGAGCCTGGTATTTAAGTTGATAAGTGTAGAGAGGCGGTTCGTTATCCACTAAGTTTTAATTTGAGTCATTGATTATTTCTTATGAGTGATCATATTTCAACGAAAATCTTTTGCTAGTACGTTCAGTTGTAGAGGCTTCTTTCATTTTGCATCTCATGACATCCCTGAGGCATGGTTATTTATTCAACTTCGATGACCTGGTGCTGCTTACTGTCTGATCAATCCTCGTAGTATCACTTAACTAAGGTTTACACACCTCAAATTATGCCTTCCTTAATCCACATGAACATTAAATGTGACAATTAGGCATGCGCCAATGCCATATTAGTTAGGTAAATAAGAAAATTAGATTGTTTGACCCCACGTCTGGACAGGGGGACCTAGTGCGTAAGATAGCATTATATAACTTTGACACTTTCCAGCTCTCTTTAACTGTAAATTATTTGCTAGTCTGCAATTTTATATCTGAGCAATTCTGTTTTTACTTGAACACCAAAAGGTTAATGCTGAGAAGGTTGCTGTATCTGGGAAGAAGAGGAGCCAAAAACTTTATAGGAGGCACTCCGGCAGTGGAGACTTTTGATCAACTGCAACAGAGAATTCCTGAAAGAATCATTGAGCATGCTGTCCGTGGCATGCTTCCCAAAGGGAGGGTCAGTATGCTTTACTATTTGTGTTGTTTCATTCCATGCTAGACCTATATGAGTTTTCTTAATTATGTTGATTAACCTAAAGAAGATGTTTGGCAATTTACATATAATGTTGGGGACGAAGCATCACTTATCAGTTATTAGGGACTCCATTAATAACTCTCATCTCCCATAGCGGTAGCATCTGTGGAACTTACAATATACTTGTGTGTGTGTGTGTAATATTTTATTTCTACACACACATATAAACCAACCCCACTTGGAACTAATGATTTTAAATCGTAGATAGCCTGTGCATAAAAGAGTATTACTTCTTCTAATGGATGGTTGTATGGCTATTGTTTACACTTCTAAATCAAGGCAGATGTGAATTACGCAACGGTGTCTTCTCATGCTTCTGGTTTTCTTTATCGTGTGCATGTGCCCTCACTCAAATGATATTGACTAGGCCATTTATTGGATCTCAGAATTGGTGGTGATTGCACTTGCTTTGCCTTGAAGAGGTTACTATCAGTAGAAAAAAGATTTTCTGCATTTTTTACATTTTATATACTCCACATTCTGAAATGATTCAATTTTCTGTTTATGCAGCTTGGTAGACAACTATTTACACATCTTAAGGTATATGTATAAAGGTCCTGAACATCCTCATGAGGCACAGAAACCTGTTGAATTGCCCCATTAGAGACAAGAGGATACAGAAGCAGCGTTGAACTCCAAGTGACACTCCTTTAAGTTGTCTGTTTAACTTCATATTTGAACGGCAATATTGTACCTAGGCTCCTGTTTTTCTTCTGTATGTTTTTTGTAGAGGTTTTCCAGTACAAATTTATTTGCCTACTCCTTTTCTAAGCCATTGATGTTCTCTAGGTTTCAGTTCTAATGAATATTTCTTCTTTCCTCGTTCTTGCGTTTGAGGTTTTATAAGTTATTCAATTTGGCATTCTAAGTTCCATGCTGACATGGTGAGAGCTAGAATTTGAATTGTGTTTTTTTGGAAAGAAGTAAAAGTTCAACATTTTGTGATGGAAAGTGAAGATTCAAAAAATGACTTGAAATTCACTTTCGCACCTCTTTTTCAATAGAAAATTAATTTTTTTTCACAATCAGGTTAATACTTTGTTCAATTTCACAAACTGACACCAACTTGCAATTTAAAAGACCATTATTTTTACAGATGAAACCAGAAATAAATGCATACAACTGCAGCGATATGTTTGCCAAGATGAGTGACCATACAACACCAAAACTTTTATGCAACTTCAAAATTGATTGATTGATTGAAATTTGTTCATTTTGCTTGGTAGTGAAGTCGAGGCCGCCGTTAAACCGTGGTCATGAAACCTGATCCGTAACATTCCTCATATATTTGGTAGAAGAATTGGAAGGAAAAAAGAAGAACTCTAGTGAACCTCCAATGAATATAGTCTCCAATTGTTAAGGACTCAATAGCACATCAAAATTGTGAAATAAAGTACTTATCGTAAAAAAAAGCAATGAATCCACTAATGGGTCTTTTGGTCCTTGTCCTAGTATAAAATTTGGAATTACATTTATCGTGTGTTTGTTCAGTGTTCTTGGGTGATATGATATAAATCTATCCCATATGCTATGTGGCATTGTAATTCTAGGACATTCTTGGTCCGGCCCTTAAGAATAGCGCTATGAATCACTATCCAATATGTTTGTACCACCATATTGTTGCCAACTTATATGGAAGGAAGGAACTCTTACACTTGACCCATGGCACATGAAGCCAGGGAAAATAGAGAGAGTTATGTTTTACAAACTCACGATAATCAGGGTCAATGCCCATGAAAGCAGTCTAGAATACATAGAAATAATCTTCTTGGAATTAATGTCCAGAAAAAGATAGCTTAAAAATTGAACTTAAGCATAAAAGAGTTAACCAAAAGAGGTCAGAGGAAGTTTTAATGGGAGCTCAATGCTGGGACGGAATTAAATGACTTCAATATGAAGATTCTTTGGATGAAAATTGTTTCGTGTTGCCTAAGAACTGAAACACGTTAACATGTCTGAATGTTGCCTGTTTTACTTCAAAAATAATAAAAAAAAGTTAACTCCACTTTTCTTTTCTTTTCCTTTCCAGATAAGCTTGGAAATGTGAATCTCATTTTATAAAGTAGCATTTCCAAAAGTGAAAGAAGAACTTCCATGCAACAATCTGGGTAATTTGCTGGGAAACCACAGGCAAACCCAGGATTTGAGAACTCAAGTTTTTCCACTTTTGGTCTAACAAAATCATATCATACCTCGAGATATCTTGTTATCAACATTTTGATGCTGAAATTGAAGCCTTCAATTGATTCTCCTTTCTTACGAGATGCATGAAGTTGCTTTCTAACTTGAGTCGCTAGAGACTGTAGAGGACATTAATAAACAGGGTAACTCAGTATTATATTAGTATCATAGAATGTTCAATTACTCAATTTTAAGGCATTCTCTTAGAAGTGCCTTTCCTAGCTCCACACCCCACTGATCAAAAGAATTGATACACCATACAAAGCTTTGGACTGCAACTCTGTGCTCATAGATGGCCAGTAACTAAAAGAAAGGGAAGATGATACCTTTAAGATGAGATTAGAGATCACAAGAAGAACATGTGTCTTTACACGAGGATAATTGTCGCTACTTGCAGGCTGCAACTATCACGACCCAAAACGATTTGGGAGTGCCACCCACACTTAACCTCCTAAATGGGCTAACCAAGGAATCCAAACCCCAACATATATCAATAATTCAACTACGAATAACAACAATAATGCTGAAGCTCAAAACTTATTAAAGTAACCAATCAAATAAACCTCTAAAGTCTAACACTTATTATCCCCAAAATCTGAAAGTCATCACATCAAGGACATATGTTCTCAAAATACCAAGTCTAAGAGTATTAAAGACACAAAATAAGTAAATAAGATGGTCTATGTCCGAAATTTAAGGACATCACACCATGACTGAGAGATTCCAGCATGAGCTAGAAGGAATAGCTCACCCTGAAATTTGATGTGCTGGAGACTGGCTAGAGCTGAGGGCGAGTCGAAGTCGATGGTACACTTGTTGCACTCCACAAAAGAAAACGAAGAAAACACAAGTAGGGGTCAGTACAAGGAACACATACTGAGTAGGTTTCATCGGTCAACCCAAAATAGAAACTAATATGCACTGAATAATAGTATAAAATCAACTATGACACTTAGCAAAGTGGCAAGCAACAAACAACATGAACAAGTGACAACGGAAGCAAGTACGCAATCAATCACAATATGAAGCACACATACGAGGACTCATGCCTCCACACCACGCTCATTTGGAAAATGAGTTCTTTGAGATTGAATGCATTAAGTTAATTCAATATCTTTTCCTTTAATGTTACAGTGTCAGATCGTGACACCCGATCCAATAATACTGTGTTGGAACGTGACACCCCAATCCAATAATACTGTGTCGGAACGTTCCAACCATATAGTTAATTCATTTGTCATTGTTATCATCTCTTTCCACTTCCTTAACAATATTTCATTAAGCCTTCTATATTCAAGGTATCACTTCGATAGAGAGGGTTCAAGATTATAAGTACGGTCTCAAGATTTCAAACCAATCATAAACCACACAACCAAGCCACACAAACACACAATCAAGTACATAGAGAACTTCACAATATCACCCAATGCATATCAATCAATATTAAGAGTTTATCTATTAAATAGAATAAACCATAACCTACCTCCACCGAAGAACCGAAGTGAACAAGCTACTTCTCCAATACTTTTCCTTTCCTCAATGCCTCCGAACCTTTCCAATCTATCAAGTACATATGCATTATTTGTAAGTTAACGAGTCTATAAACACTCATATTATTCTATGTAGATCCTAGACCCAAAAACTCACATAATTCTATAATCAATTCCCTAAAGTTCAAACCTAAGGGTAAGTCTTAATTCCTCCAATTAGCATAACTTTAATGAAATTTAAATAATTCGATACACCTAATATTTAGTTACCTATCTCAACATATCAAAAATACTTCATAATATGATTACTAAAGAATTAACTAAAGTTGACTAACAACTTAGTACACCAGTAACCTATTACAAGGACGAAGCATCCTATTTAAAATATTTCAGTTCATACCAAGTGTTTTCCACCAAATAATGATCCTCATCATGCATGGTCCAATGATTAGGAACAATCATTGTTCAATAATTAGATCATGATTACTCATATCTACACCTACCAAGTCCAGAACACAACATAACATACATATACCAATTTAAATTTACCCGCCACTTGATTCTCTTCCTTTACAATATAATAAGATCACACTATCCAACCCATATACGTACACATAGTATACTAACAATAATCAAAGTAAAAAAAAATCACCTAAAGCACCATGACTTTTCTTCATTCAACGCCACTTTCTGTTCTGTCGCATACTTTTTCTTCTTTCTTTTACAGATTATTTCTTTACCCTAATTATTATATAACCAATTATAAAAGTGGTAAAAGTGACCCACTACTAATTTAATGTTATTTTCTTTAACCACCAACTATATTTAATTATTAAAATTACCCCATTACTTCTATAATTATTGTTACGAATAGTCTAAAATACTCATTTAGAATCTATTGGAAAGTATTTTTAGAAATAAAAAGCTCTAGTACTCAAAATGACCAAAAGGGTCGTTACATTAGATATCAATTTACCCATCGTTCGTCCTCGAACGATCAAAAGAAGGTGAGGGTAAGAAAGGGTACCTGAATAGATAAAAAAGTGTGGATATCTTTCATGCGTATCAGCCTCACTCTCCCAAGTAGACTCTTCAACTGAACGATTTTACCACTGAACCTTGATAGATGCAATCTCCTTTGAACTCAACTTGCGGACCTCCCTATCTAGAATAGCAACAGACTCCTCCTCATAAGACAGATTCTCATCAAGCAGGACAGAATCCCAACGAATAATGTAGTTCCCATCACCATGGTATTTTTTTCAGCATTGACACATGAAATACCGAGTGCACTCCTGACAAGCCTGGAGGCAAGGCCAATTCATAGGCCACCTCCCCCACACGCTTAAGAACTTCAAGTGGCCCAATATACCTCGGACTAAGCTTATCCCGCTTACCAAACCGCATCACACCCTTCATGGATGAAATTTTCAGCAAGACTTGCTCACCCTCCATAAACTCTAAGTCCCTGACCTTCCGATCTGCATACTCCTTTTGTCTACTCTGAGTTGCTAGAAGCTTCTCCCGTATGAATTTCACTTTCTCTAAAGATTCCCTCAAAAGATCAGTACCCCAAGGTCTCACATCGAATGCATCAAAATAACTAATGGGAGACCTACATCTCCTCCCATACAACGCCTCAAATGGGGCCATATCAATACTCGAGTGACAACTATTGTTGTACGAAAACTCTGCTAAGGGTAAGAACTGATCCCAATGACCACCGAAATCTATCACGCATGCACGAAGCATATCCTCCAGCACTTGAATTGTTCGCTCAGACTGCCCATCGGTCTGAAGGTGAAATGCGGTACTAAGATCCAATCTAGTACCTAATTCAGCATGCAAGGTCCTCCAAAAGTTAGAAGTAAATTGCGTACCTCTATCTGATATGATGGAGATCGAAACTCCATGCAATCGAACCACCTCACAAATATAGAGTTTGGATAACTTCTGTGCATTATAAGTCACCTTGACTGAAATGTCGTGAGCAGACTTAGTTAACCTGTCAACAATTACCCAAATAGAATAAAACTTACCCAATGTCTTTGGATGACCAACAACAAAATCCATTGCAGTTCTTTCCCACTTCCATTTAGGAATGGGCATTCTCTGAAGTGTCCCTCCAGGCCTCTGATGTTCATACTTTACCTGCTGACAATTCAGACATTAGTCAACAAAATCAGATCACGATACATCTTGGTTGCACCAGGATGTATACAATACCTCAAACTATGAGCCTCTACAAGGATAGTATGGGTCAAATCATCAACACAAGGCACACATACCCGCCCCTTAATTCTCAAGACGCCTTCCTCATCAATCACAACCTCTTTAGCCTCTCCTCTCAACACCATATCTCGAATTCAGCTCAGCTTCTCATCATCAAACAAGTTGATTTTTGACTTATTTTCTCATGTTTGGTTGGTGAGTAGAAAATATTTTTCGGAAAAGATTTTTAGTGTTTGATTTATGAATGAAAAATATTTTTGAGAAATATCTTTTATTTTAACTAGAGTAGAAAATAATTTTTGAAATTGAAAATAATTTTTAAAAACAAACTTAAATTTTTTTTGGGGGGTGGGGGATGGTAGGGGATGGGTGGG